ACCTCCATCCTCCTGGAAGTGCTGAAACTCCAACCAGAGAAGAAACAAGTGAAGCTGACAGGCTGCTCACATGAAGAGAGTGAAGTGAGGAGTTTACTCCAGTGTCTGCCTTATATCTCACAGCTCAGGTAAATGTACTGCACTTTACATGATAAACTCTACATAAAAGCTCTCCAAGTTATATTTTTTGCAGCCACTATTTGATTTTCATAAGAACCATAGAATACTTGTCAATACTTGCATTGACTTGTACATATTATGAACTAATAACTGGACAAATGCAGTTTACCAAGTTGAGCTGATAAATAAAAATACCAAACAGAAAAGTTTTTGTGGAACCATCGCAAGCAATGCATGGGTGATAGTGTTGTGGGACTTTGATATTAATAGACTTTTGAAATATTCATAAATAAAAAGGCAAGCATGAGTCTTGATCACTCATATGGCAGTGACGTGCAGCGGCATGTTCATCCTACTTATGACGTGCAAAGTAGACTAAGTAGGTGACATAAAAGAAAAAAAAGAATTTGGGAGGCTATTGGAAGGCCTCAAACCAGATGGTGAACTCCTGAAGGGAGCCGTGAAGCTGAAGAAAGAGTCTTAACAAGCTTGGTCAGCCTGTGGGACTGCAGAGGCAACTGACAGCTACTGCTGGAGTATGACTTCAACAGTAACTGAAGGAAATACTTGTGGAATGAGTTCAATGACACCATGGAACAAGACTTTCGGTGGACATCATTCAGAGATCTGAGCCAGTGCCTCTTCACCTTGGTTTTAGGAGGAAAAGTAGACTTTTCATCCTGATTTTGGAACAATGGACCAACTCTTCATCCTCTTGAAGGGACATGTGAGTTTGTTCAAGCAGTCCACATGTATTTGGTGGACTTAGAGAAGGCATTAAACTGTTCCTCTGGGATTCCTTTATTGGGTGCTTTAGCAGTACAGGTTATCAGGCCTGTTGTTATGAGCTTTTCAGTACCTGCACAAGCACAGTAAGCGCTTGATTGCCAGCAAAAAGTCAGAATCATTTCTACTGGGTGTTGGACTACTGGGTCGTCCACCTAGCAACCTACAAGGAGGCTAGGTGGAGGTCACTTACCTAGAAGTGGATCTTATTTCTGCGTTTTGCAGATGTTGTGGTTCTGTTGGCTTCATTAGATGGTTTGCAGTGGAGGGGTTTTAAGCCAAGTATAAAGTGGTGAGAATGAGAAGCATCCCGAAATTTGAGGCCATGGTTCTTGGTTGGAAAGGAGTGGAGCTTCCACTGTTGGTTAGAGACGTTTTGTTGCCCCAAATGGATTTCAAGTATCTTGGGGTCTTGATCATGAGTGAGGCGAGAGGGAAATTGACACCTCAGGTGACACATCAGACATATTGAGTGTAAAAGCAAAGCTGTCAATTTACTGGTCAATTTACATCCCAACCCTCATCTATGGTCATGAACTCTGAGTAGAGACAGAAAGATTGACATCCAAGGGGTGGGTGCGTGAGGTCAGATATTTAGGAGGGAATCAGAGTAGAATCATTACACCTAGACAATAGTATAATATATCAGAGTGAGTTTTCAAAGTTTTGTAGTGCTCTCACATATGCTAAAATTGCCAAAGACTTTAAAATGCATCTCCATAAACTTTATATAGCCGCTTGAAGTTACTCATTCACTGCAGGCTCAAAATGGTTCTTCCTTTCTGTTCCAGTGTTATTCCGTGGAAGTTAGATGAAGAAATCAGGTTCTTTGGGAGTGTGTTCTGTGCAGCAGCAGAGAGAGAGCAGCAGACAGGGGAGAAGATACTGGAGCTGTTATCATCAGTGTGCACATACAAAGGATTTCCTGTCAAACAGAAATTGTGTGATTTTCTACTGGATCTGTACTTTTATGAGACCAAAACAGGATCGATTATTCTTCATTCATTACAGTCAATTTTCCAGTCAGCTCCTGCAGTCTGGTCCATAAACCTCTCACAGAGAAAGACCTCCATCCTCCTGGAAGTGCTGAAACTCCAAGCAGACAAGAAACAAGTGAAGCTGACAGGCTTCTCACATGAAGAGAGTGAAGTGAGGAATTTCCTTGAATGTCTGCCTTATATCTCAAAACTCGGGTAAGCAAATTGTACTTTGCATCATTAATGCTACATCGGATGCTTTGAAAATGATTTATAGATGTAGTTTAAGCCAAAAAGTTTGGTATTATTGTACGCTTTAAGTATTCATATAAATGCAGCACAAAAAGTAAGAAATTTTATCTTTGGTTGATTATTTCTTTCTTTGCTTCTTAGCAATACATCTCATACTGTTGGAAAGCCTGTGTATTACAAGTAAGGAAAATGTTTTGT